AGCTTCCAGGAATATCTTGGGAAGATACATGGAGCTTACACTTCTGAGAAGCTCAGCTACTTTGAACACAACCTGGAGGTGACAGTGGAGTGGGGTCCAGCAGTTGGGGCATTATGACCCTGGAAAAATTGGTGTGGGGTCAGTTTGGACAGGACTCTGGGTTAGGTTCTCTTCCATTGGTCTTGTCTTTTTAGACATGGAGGCAGCTGTGGCGGGTGTTAGAGATGTCTGACATTGTCCTGCTCATCACTGATATCCGGCATCCAGTGAGTACTTGGTTTGAGAGTGGGCAAAGGGGAAGAGGGAGGAAAGTTCTTGTAGGGGAAGGTGGGTGGCTGGAATCAGAACATGGAGAGGTACCTTTTCCTATTCATTTTTGTTTTTTCTTTCAGTACTGGGATTTGTACTCAGCTTGGTGCTTGCTAGGCAAGTGCTTTACCACATAATCCACATCCTAAGCCTTTTTGCTTTAGTTTCAGATAAGGTTTTGTATTTTTTGTCTTGGGTCAGCCTTAGACTGAGATCCTTCTACATATACCTTCCTCATTATTAGCCCCAGCTTGTTTTTTGAGATATGGTCTCACTGTTTTTGCCCAGGCTGGCTTCAGTCCGTGATCTTCTTATCTCTGCTTCCTGCAAAACTGGGGCCTACTTTGTTTTTCCAGCTCCCTCTAATGTCTACAATCAGGAATTTAGTCCCACTCAACCCCAGGTGTTTTGTGCTGGTACCAGGGTTTAAATTCATGCTTTCAGTTACCTTTTTCCACTCAAGGCAGGCATTCTACCACTTAAGCCACAACTCCACTTCCAAAGTGCTCATTTTGTTTTTGTTGTTTTTGTCCTAGTACTGTAGCTTGAAATTGGCCTGGATGCTATCCCTTAACTTTTTTTTTTTTTTTTGGGTCCGGTTGTGGAGCCTGAACTCTGGGCCTGGGCGCTGTCCCTCAGCTCTTCAGCTCAAGGCTAGCGCTCTACCACTTGAGCCACAGCGCCACTTCCAGCTTTTTTCTTTTTCTTATGTGGTGCTGAGGAATCGAACCCTGCATGCAAGGCAAGCGCTCTACCACTGAGCCTCCTTCCCAGCCCGGAACTCAGTTTTTTATTCATCTCTTGTCATATCCTTTCACTTCTCCCCTGTCCCGATGACTTTCTTTTGTACTACCCTTGATGAAAAACTGCATGTCCTGTCTTCTATCCTACCAGAACTAGACCAACAGAAAATTCCAGGATTCTGTGGAGGCAGCTGGGGACTTCCCCTGCCCATCCCAAAGATGCTCTTTCTTACTTATCTCATTTCTCTAGTGCGGCCACATCAATTGCTACAGAATCCACCTGGAATGCTAGGGTAGTGGTTAAGGCCATAGACTGCTGCTGTGAGTCCTGACTCTGCCACTTCACTGTTGTCCTTCAGTAGAAAGAGGAAGGTCTGTGGAGGACATTTTAGGTTGGAGTTTCTAAATGAACCTACACGCACATACAAATACATGCGTGCATGTGTACATCCATATACACAAGCACATTCACACACTCATGTTCACAGTCATTCATACTGAGCACATCCCACGTGCACATACCTGCATGCATGCTTGTATGCATGTCTACCCACTTGTACAGATTTTTGCACACAAAAACAGGTAT